GTTGGTCTCCTCCACGAGATTCTGGTTGACGGCGTCGGCGTCGGAGGAGCCGAGGTTGACGCCGATGGTGCCGCGGAGGACGAGGATGTCGTCAGAGACAAAGGTAACCTTGGAGGAGTCATGGTCGACGGTGGAGAGGAGGGAATAGTGGAGGGCGGAGGAGGAGGGGAGGGAGGAGTGGTAAATGGCTGTGGCGAGGGAGTTCAAGAAGTAGGGAGAGGGGTTGAGGCGGAGGGGAGGGGAGGGGAGTGGGAGACGGAGGGGCAAGGGAGAGGTGGGAGACGGAGGGGCAAGGGAGAGGTGGGAGACGGAGGGAGGGGAGAGGAGATCGTATAATTATAAAAATATTAATAAAAACTTAAAAATAAATAATGTAAAAATTTAAATATAAAATAATTTTTATTTAAAAGGTTGACATGACATTTGACATGGTATTTAAATGATGTGTACATATACACATTAGCTACAGTACCAAAACCCCTCATTTATCAGGGGTAGAGTAGCAACTCCCTAAAAGTAAAATATTACTATTCTATCAAAAGATTAATTGAATATACTCATTCTCATTAAATTGTTTATCTTGATAATAGATGAGTGAAATTGGTTGCAATGAAAGTAAGAAAAATACGACATTCTCTTTAATTGACTGAAATTTATTAGAAATATCGGGTCTAACACAACATTTAATATTTCTCTCTCTTAATTTTATAAATTTTAACCAATAAAAATAAATGTATTGCTAACACTTTCCATAAAAATAAATTACAACTATATTGGAAAAATCAAAGATACTCTCAGGCGCAGCGATTAATTCAAAGTTTGTTAGCGATCTGACATCGCTTAATGTCGATAAAGGTCAGTAATCATCATCTTCTTTTCATTAGAGTTGTTTCGATATGTCATATTTTGCAATTTAGATGTTGCTGCATCGAATTGCGATAATGGAATTTGTGAAATTGATCTTGTTGCCTCTATTTCCAGATCCCTTGCTCTATTTTATGTTGTCTGCTTTTTTGTACCATAGCTATTTTCAGTTTCTAATTACTTTCAACTAATCTCGTTGCCAATTTTCATTGGGGATTTGGGGGGGTTTTTTAATTGCAAACTTAATAATAAACTTTTTTTAATTCATTTGATTAACACACCTTGACTGATAAGTGATTAGCGGCCATTGCTTTTTCATCGATGACAAATATTGTTGAATATTTTCTTTGAGTTGAACACGAAAATAATCTCTAATCCGTTAATATTCATTTATGAATGTCGCAGGCTCGTGTCTGAATTAAAGTAGTCGTCACCATGAGATTGAGAAAGGGAAATAAAGTGGAGATCCGTGGCAATACCGAACAGCTTAGCGTGGAATGGCGTAGTGCTCGAATAATTTCTGGTAATGGGCACACCTACAGTGTCCAGTATGACCATTATAGCACAACAAGCGAGGCTAGCATAGAGAGAGTTTCAAGGAAGGCCATCAGACCATGCCCCCCTCTTATTAAAGGTATTGAGAGTTGGGCAGCTAATGATCATGTGGAAGTTTGTGATGCTGGTTCTTGGAAAGCGGCTACTGTTTTGAAAGTCATTGGTGGAGGCTTATACTTGGTAAAGCTGTGGGTAACTTGCAACGAGTTAAAGGTTCACAAAGTAAACATGAGGGCACGCCAATCTTGGCTAAATGGTCAATGGATTGTCATGCCAAAGGTAAACATCTATTTTCTCAATATAAATAGTACAACATTGCTTGTGATTTCATTTTTAGTATTCTTAAAGTTTGGGCCATTTGCATCGTGGTAGAATTTCTTATCAATTTGTATATTTTTACCCTTTAAGTTCGCATTGATATTGGTTGATAATTGAGTTACTTCTTATTTTCCATGATTGATCTGAATTTTGTTTCCAACTTGCCATGCCTTGTCCTTAAGTTTGCTCATGTTTGTTCCAGGGATCAGACATGTTTGGAGTTGGGAAGTCTAGCAAGTATTTGAATTCAAAGAGTTACAAGGATCAACCTGAAAATCAGCGAACCAGAAATATTTTTTCTCCAGTATTAGATGTCAGTGGTCGTCAGGAGCCTCATCTGTCCTCATCTTCAACATTGAAGAGATTGTCCCCTTATGGCTCCTCTCTTATTGAGGCTTATCCCAGAAAAGTAAGGGCTGTTGAAAATATGGGTGAGTGTGGAAGATTCAAAGCTGTAACCACAGCCTCCTTCCTGCAAAAGGTAGATGCTGTTGCTTACCCGCAAAATATTATGGGTGAAAAATGCATGCATACATCCTTTACTAATGGTACCAACCAATATTATGAAACAGGAAAGGAGAATCCTTATATTGTTTCAACACATTTTCTTGAAAGAATTGAAGAACCTGATTATTCTTGTAGTGATAGTTCAGTTGGCAGTTGTAGTGTGAAAAGTAGTAATTCTAATAAATTTTCCAGTGATACCTTATCAGGTCCTTGCCAAGATGAAGACATCTTTTGCAGTGATGCAGAATCTCTAGATGTTGGACATGTGGATAAAGGATGCTCCATTTCTCCCGAAGAGGCTGTAGCAGATAGAATTCATAGGTTAGAGTTGCATGCCTATCACAGTACCCTAGAAGTTATGTATGCTTCTGGTCCTCTAAGTTGGGAACAAGAAGAATTATTGACTAACCTTCGTATTTCACTCAATATTTCAAATGATGAACATTTGATGGAGATAAAGAACTTAGTTTCAGGTGGTCAGCATTTTTAAATGTTTACATATGAATACCATGTTTGTACAGCCTTATTAGGTTCTGAACAAGAGTACATATTTTGAATAATTCTTTGTTCTTAATATTTCTAGATTAGGGAAATTATGTTGCTATACTCATTATGAATATATCAAGTTATGATGCTCTTTTGTTAAAGGAAAAGTTATGATGCTCTTTATTTTTTTGCCCCATTTTCTCCCTCTCTCTCTCCCTCTCTTTATTTGATGTCCTAATTGTAGTTTTCAATGTTATAAGTTCTTAGCTTTTACACCTGCATTGATTTGCAGATATGGGAGACTTGTCTGATTGATTCTTTAACTACCTTCTAATGGCAAGTAATGATTAACAACTATTTGGTTTTACTTGGACAGCTTGATTATACTATTTAACTCAATCTGAAATCTTGCTTAATTTTGATAAAATTTATTAATTGCATTCTATTAACTCAACTGAACAACTATCTGGTTTTACTTGGACAGCTTGATTATACTATTTAACTCGATCTGAAATCTTGCTTAATTTTGATAAAATTTATTAACTGCATTCTATTAACTCAACTTTTTCACCATTTGATTATTATTGACAAATCAACTACATTTTCCAGGGCCAGTGTAGGAGGCTTGCATGCCTTGCTTTCAATGGCTAAATATGAAGCTTGGTTTGCTTCTTCTCTCTGCAAATTAATTGGTGGCGTCTACCAATAATTTTCTTACAGAGATAAGAAATTTCTGACCATTGTTTTCTCACTGTCATGTCATGCCAGAACATCAATTTTTCTAAAAGCTGTTGATGTAATCCTCATATGGAAGATCTTCTTATGATACAATTCTTCAGATAATAATCATTTATTTGCATGCCATGTGGATCATATTTAGTGTGACTTGAATACTTTATCCTGTCAATTGAAAAATAAAATTTAATGCTAGGATGTTTCAGTATGTGTTATATCAGTGTAGTTAATGGCACTGGTTATCTGTCACATGGCCTCCTCATGATGCATCAGCAGATGTGGTGTGTTGACATGGCAGCAAATCGCAGCTACAATAGTGATGTTGCAGCTGTTACTACGTACGGGTAAAAATCTCAAATTGTCTCCATTTTGCATCATCAATCACAATCAAGTTGTTTTAAGGTCTTTTGCTCAATATCACCGTGCCCCTTTCCACTCCCCCTCTGTTAAATCTTCTCTCCACTCCCCTATTCCAGCCCATCACTATATGCCAACTCTTCTGCTACTGTTATGTTTTTGCAGGTCTGAGTTTATTCTTGTGTGTGATGGGTTGTGCAATTTGCACCTCACATTCCTCTGTTTCCACAGGTCCATGGCATCCTCTGTTCTACTTTTTGAAAGAAAACCTCTTTTCATTTCAGTTTTTCTTTTCTTTTTGCGTATTTTGCACTTCAGTCCTATGTTAATTGCCTTGTTAATTATGCCTTCAATATGTGGCAAACATCTATCTAGACTATGCCACTGATTCACTATTACTTTTGATTATAAAAGGACACATTTAATATTTGGTTCCCCTCAAGTATGTTTTTTGGTATACCGGTCATCACATTATCCGGTGTCTTGTTATAGTTTTTTTTGAGCTGGTCACTTGGAGCTACTGGTTGTTCTTCACTTTGTTAGACTCAGCTTTAGATTTTCCATTAGTTCATCAACAATATATTTAGCTCCCTTTTTGTTGGTCTGCATTGTTAAATGACCTGCCTGCTTTTGAAACTTGCTCTCTTGACTCATGTGAATTGGCATAGAGGACATGGATTAATGATGCTTTTAGCATGTTTTGGTGAAAATTACTTCATGGGAGACGGTTATTTTTTGCTGAAACTTGTACGTATCTAAGAATTTGTAAAGAAACATAGGCATAAGTATGCACATGTATTTTACTCAATCAGCTTCTTTCCTCTTTTCTTTCTTGAGCCGATTCTGTACATGCAGCTGTCTTTTCATAAGCTCAAAATGTTGGACATTTTTCCTTAGCCACTCCATTATCAAACATATAATGGCTCTGCGCCTCTCTTAATTTGAATTCTTAGTTTCTTACATGACATGATAGTGTGTACTTTTAATTAATTTTTATCAAGAAAAATGTTGGAACTTCCTTGAAACAGCATTTTTACCTGTTATCATTGAGGCTAAATTATGTTTTTTTGTCTCTATTGTTTTCATCTCCAATTATGTTATTTATATGGTTTACAGGAATGTCTACTGATTTTTAAGTAGATCTGTTGATGACATTATGTTAACCTTGAAACCTTGGTATCATCGTGACTCTTTACTGTTTATTTTGAATTGTTATATGGAAGAATAAACTCATTTAGGCCATTCAAAATCGTAGTTCCCTCTATATTATAATCAAATGCATTTTCTTTTCATTCATTATGGCCATTTTGGTTGTGTATAGTTTCGGCTGTGGATACTTTGAGTCTCATTTTATTGCAATTATTCTGGAGCTCATTGATCTTTTAACTTGCATATCAAAAGGCTTGGGGAGAGGAAGTACATGAGAAGATGATGCGAAGAGGTCTCACGTGTTTTCCGTATATGAAATTTTTCTCATCAAGTTGCATCGCAAAAAATTAATTTTAGTCCATGTACTCTATGTACTCTATTCGACTATTCGTTTAAATTTTGTACGTTGCCAGCGAATATCAATTTAAAGTTTCTTGGCAGTTGTTTAATCCACATTTTAGCGTCAATACTATTCTGTTATTGTGTTGTGGATAAACAAAAACGTACTCTCTTTACTCTTTATTTTCAGTAATGAACTTTTGTACTATCCTAGGCTGGTATTTTTTGCCTCAAATATGGTTTGTACAGCTTTTCAAAGTTAACACTTCAAGGTTAATTTATGTTTGTAGAATGTGATTTTTGTTAGTTTAGAATTATTTTGGCTTAAGCTATCCTAATATGATATTTGGGGCTTTTACCAATTAACTAAGAAATTAAACGTAAGATTGACCTTGATCCTCTTTATTTGATGTAGTCTTTCTATCTATAAGATTGGTGCCAAGCGTGTGAAAGAGTTACTAGTTTTGATTTTATTAGTAGTTTACCTTTCCAATTTTATTAGTAGTTTACCTCATTGGATATGAATGCCAAAAAAACATTTTCGCTAAAGAGGAATTGCTATAAATAATTTTATACAAAATAATTATTCGTATTTAATATGTATAAGTGAATATAAAAATTTTGAAACAAATATTTATAAACGTAATAAATTAATATTTGTAAACAAATATTAATATAAGACTCTACGTATCCAACAAAAATCAAGTTGTCATAGATAAAATGAAATTATTCAAAATAAAGCAAATGACTATCATCAACTAAATTGTTCAATATTTTAAATTAAGTAAAAATTTCAAGTTATGATTATCATCCAAATCTTCATGCATTATTTAAATTGTATACACAAAATGTTATATATTGTATTAGGTAAAATATACAAAAATAATTAGTTGTTTAAGTTATTTAAATTTGAAAAAAAATACAAGTATTCAAGCAGAAAAATTCAATCAAATTTCAACTTATTTCTTGTTTTAAATCATTATCTACTATATGATTTTAGAAAAATGAGAACATTGATTTAAATAAATAAATATATATTTTACTTGGTGCTTTACACATGTATTAATTAAATAAAAATATATAGAATTTTAATGTTTTTCAAATTAATTTTTTTATTAAATATTATAAGAACTAAGAAGTAATAATTTGGTAGCATCATGAAGTAAAAACCAATACATATATTAAATGTAAAATAATTTAAAAACTTGATAATTAAAAATTGAAAATTGATTTATATCCGTTTGAAAGACTTATTTATATATTTAATATATTTTTAGTAATTAAGATTCTTTACTTTTATTATTATAAATAAAAATATTTAAGTTTCACTTACTCAACAAGTAGGATTGTAATATTTACCCCCAAAAGTCATACAATTATAATATAAAATTGATCACCATTAAAGTTACTTACATTTATATTTATATTTTATATAGGTTAAACATATAATTTGGATGTCATAGATTCTTAATTTGCTCCATATATGTAAAAAATTATTAAATCAATTTGTATAAATTTAAACATTATTAATTTGATTTTGGAAATCATTAATTTTCTTATAATTTTTTTAATTTAATCTTTATATATGTAGCATATTTGTTACTTTGAAGATATTTTGATATATGTAACACATTCTTAACTTAGCACCTAAATGATTAATACATTCTTAATTTGACCATTTATATGTAAAGTTCAAAGGTGTCAAACTAAATTATAATTAATTAAAATATTTTCTTTATCATAATGAATTATTGTTATTATTATTATCTTTTAAATTTGAAGTTAATTTCCGTACAATAAAATATTTGTTTTACCTTATATTTGTATCGATAGAGTTTCAGATTTCTTATATTTAACAATCCTATATATTAACTTTTAAATATATTTAAAAATTTTCATTTAATTATACCTCGATCTATTTCAAAAACTCAATTTTATCTTATTTTGTTTAAGTTATACGTTGATGCATTTAATGTGAATTAACTTTTGTCTACAATAATCTTTTTACCTAATTTAATTCATTTTTTTCCTTTAAATCAAGCAAACATGGACCAATCAATTTTTTATACTTAAAACCCTTAAAATTATAAAAAAAAAACCTTTTCTGTCACTGTTATTCAAATATATTGCATGTTATCGATAGACATGAACCTAACTACAAATGATCTCATTAATAAAACTTAATATTTAAATACTATATTCATTTCAAAAAATTATTATAAAGTTACAATATATTGATATTTAATAAAATATTTACACTAAATAAAGAAAAAGATGGAAGGACATCAAGTGAAAGTTACACCATCAAACTATTTACATTAGAATTAAAAACGTCTTAAAGATTGGGAGAGAGGGTTACTATGTGCTTGACCCATCATTTGATTGTTTTTTATACTTTCTGTGTGACAATTGACCTATTAATATATTTTAATCTGTATAACAAAGTTGAAGAACTTTGTGAGAAATTACTAAAAATATCATATAGTTTTGCATGATAAGCTCTGCTATCTTCCTCAAATATGAACACAATTTTTATGCTGAAATTTTACATAATAGGCAAAATGCTTAGTTTTCAAATTTCTTTATTTTATTTTACCTAAAAAAAGATTTATCTAGCTATTGTGAATATTAGTGAGAGCATACATTACTTTAGAATTTTTACATTGAGGAAAATGACCGACTAGAAACCAACGTAAACATCTTGTATGCGAATGCCATCTATAACTTATTAGCCACCTTTAAAAAGCATATAATTACTTCATACCGAGGTTTGCACCCTTAATAGACTATTATATTGTTACTTGGATATTAAATGTTTAAATGACAGTTTTTCTAAAGTATAACACATATAAGGTTATATTAACCGAGCAATGGATAAATAACCCAAGCAATTAAGATCCACCTGCACATGAAAAATAAGATTTAAGCATCATCAATTAAAATCCACCTACACATGAAAATTATGTATCAAATTCATGGCTTCAATGTAATCTTTTACAGGTATATGGTTTGTTATATAGGTCTTTGTGTATTATTAAATTCTAAGTCATTGATACTTTCTCGTATTAAATATCGTCTTTTAAGAATCTATTCTTATCTCTTATAAAGCAATTCCAAGTTAGTTATTTGATCCACTTGCCTCTTCAATGTTGAAGCAAATAGAAAAATGATAAAAGAGGAGAAGAAAAATACCAATAATATGCTTAAACTCAATATTGATCAATACTATCATCATTGCAAGACATTCTCTAACGACCCGCCTGGCCGTCACACAGCACAACATCACAACACCATACAGACAAGAGCTACCACTAAATTGTAACGACCCATCTGGCCGTCACACAGCTCAACAACACGACACCACACAGACAAGACCATGCATATATATATATATAAGCAGCTAAAATATATACACAAGGTCTGGCCTGGGACTTAAAAATCAGAGTATAAAATACAGCCCAATTGCTATACTAAGTAGCTGCAGACCTGCCTCAAAACACCAACCTATCCCTGCTCTGCTCCCATACACAGTATGATCATTACAGTCCAAACCACATGAAAACAACAAAGGGTAAGCTAGTGAAAAGAATCAGCATATATAGATATATAAGTACGACAATTATAAACAATTTCAGCTTATCAGCACATCAATTTAATTCAGTAAGATCAGCACACAACACATCAATATACAGCTCACATCATTCAGCCAAAAACAACATTAAACAAATAATGCATCGTCACGCATATCAGCTCGATTTGGTCACTTGTAAGCGGTATAGCTCGACTTGGCCCCTATACCGTGGTCGCTTTATAATTCGTTATAGCTCGACCTTGCCCCTATACCGTGGTCGCTTTGCACACGTGTGCCTCGACCTTGCCCACACACGGGACCAACTAAGTACTTAGAGGAGAACAACACAGTGACCACTCCAAGGGATAGCTTCCTAGGGAGGGTTTTCAACAAATTGGACTCTAAGAGCACCACAGCTACCTCAATCCACACAATGGGATGAGCAATTTCAAAAAACATCTCCTTTAGTCTTAGTGATCAATAGCTCAGCCTTATGGCCTACAACAGCTCAGCCTTACGACCTACAACAGCTCAGCCTTTCGACCTACAACAGCTCAGCCTTACGGCTTACAACAGCTCAGCCTTACGGCCTACAACAGTTTATATAAGCATGCAGCACAACACAGCATAGCAGCAATAATAGCATACAACACAACTCAATATTATACAGCACAGCTTAAACATCATAATTCAGCATGAACAGCTCACATCACAACTCATCATCAATAAGCTCAACAACATTTATCATCAACAGCTTAAATCAGCATACAATTCAGCTCGGCTCAACAACAAAATTTAGCATTAGCATCATACAGCATAGCTCAGCGTTACATTATTAACAACATAAACAACATAAAGCACAACTCAACTTTTCATCATACGGCATTAACAACATTAATCAGCATAAACAACATTCGGCACAGCTCAACTTAACAGCAATAACAGCTCAAACATTATTAACAGCATGGTCAACAACTTTACAACATGCAACATATTCAACACATAATACGAATCACCCATCTTGTTTACAACTCATCTATTATGCCAAATTACCCACCTAAACAACACCAATCAACCTAAGCACCTAACACAACTTTCAACTTAACCAAATCACTAATTGTGAAATGACAACTTTCACATAAAATAGTGTATCAGGAGTTATACTACTCCTACCATGCTCATCCTTATCTCATATTAAAAATAAGAAGATTTCCTACAACTCTCATGAAGACACCAAGTCCTAATTCCTTCATCTACCTTGTTAAAAATTCTAAAAACCGCAACAGCTATAAGCAATGCTGGCAGCTTGACCCCTCTTCACTAAAACAGCCATATCTGGAGTCCTAGACCTCCTTTTTGGATGATTCCAGCGCCATTGGAAAGCTAACATCCAATGATACAACTTTCATGAAGACTATAAAGTCAAATTCTGAAAGAAAACGCACGCCCGGCGCATTAAAATCACGCCCAACGCAAATCTCAACCAGAGACCTACAGAGGCCTTTTGCGCTCGGCGCAATTAACCTGAGCCCGGTGCAATATCAGTAACAAAAACATAAGATTTACGTTTGATAGTGCGCCCGGCGTGGTTCTCCCCACGCCCGATGTGATTCACCCAGGGATTTCCCATTTCAAATCACGCCCGGCGCGAAGAACTGCGCTCGGCGCAATTTCAAACAGTAACCCTCACTACTTCGAAAATTTCACCCAAAACCTGTAAAATTAGCCAACTCAAACACATGCAATCTATCAAATAAACTACATTTACATCAAAAAACTCAAAAACCACAGCTTTACAAACATGCAACCATCAAAACATGAAAATCCCAAATTTTCACCCAAAGTCCCGAAACTCCGAAAATGAAATTTCTTCAATCTCAGCCAACAACCATCCAACATCAAACCCCTCATGAGTTTCTAAACTCATTTCCACACAATCCAGCAAAAACCTAGCTTCCCTTACCTCGGTGAGACGATTCCGAGCTCTTGGAAGAGAAAGGAGAAGAAGAAGCTTGAAAAGAAGCTCCGCACGGCTCAGCTAGTAATCCAATACCTATTCAGCTCCTTGAGACAACAAGGAATAGAGGAAAATGAACAATGGAGGCAAAGAGAGTGAACAAGACAAAGTGAGAATGAAAGGGGAAGAAGTGAGAAAGGAAAGGAGGAGAGGGAGTGGGCTATGGGGTTTCACACACTCAATTCTGAAATTTCTCCCAATACAAATTGTACCTCAAAAACTTTTATGTACAAAATAACAACAGCCAAAGCGGAATTTTAGATTACCTAATTTTGAGTAAAATATTTCCCAAATTAATGATGACATGAAATAACTGGATCTTTTAATGACATGAAAAGAAAAAAAAACTAAGAAAGTAATCCAGTCAATGTTTGTTGGTAATTTTTTTTTATTATCATTTATTCAAAGTAATTAAAAAAGATTAATTTTCATATATAAAAAAAATCAGACTGACTAACTCCTGCTTTTTTTAGTGAAGTTCCCTCTCTCTTTCATTCTAAACACATTTCTTTCTTCTTACAACAAGACGTAGTTTGATATTTACAATACAAAATTAAAAACTTAAAAACTGACAAAAAGAATAAGAGTTAATCACCTATACATTGTCAGTGTAAAATTTTTTACACTGGCAACCAATCAGATCTGTTAATAGTGCCTCACTAATAACAGATCTAATTGGTTGCCAGTATAAAATTTTTTAGACTAACAGTGTATAGGTGATTAACTCAAAAAATAAAGCCAAAATAATTAATTTACTCCAAAATCACAATAGTAAAATCACATCCACAAGTGCGACGCGTGAAACAACATTAAAGCTAATTAATATAAGAATCTGCAACAAATATTTATAAATAACATAACTTAACATTTATAAACAAATATAGCTCAAGACTCCTTGTTTGGTAAAATCTAAATTATTAAACATAAATACAGCTCAAGACCACTTAAACTTAATTGTGAAATCCCTTAAATAAAGCAAATGACCAATATAAATTAAATTGTTCTAACTATATAATTAAAGTATTACAACATTTTAAATTAAAGTAATTCTTCAAAGTAGTACAACATAAATTTAATTGTTTAAGTTATGATCATTATTCAAACAATCTTCATGTCTTTTTTTTCTCAACTCAAATGTCAAGCTGCAAATAATATTAAATAAAAATAAATGTTAGAAATTGTTTAGTATTTATACTAAAATAAAATTAAATGTTTTGTTCAATTCATGGATTAACATATTTGTAAAGGATAAACTGGCCATCAAAATTAATCGACGTCAATTTTTTATTATTATTTTGAGCCAAATTTGACTCAATATAAAAAAATCTAAACTAATTTAATTAGTTTAGTTGAGATTCTCACATCTATCCATGAATAAAAACAGTAAACTCTAAACACTCTTAAATAAATCAACTATAATATCTTATTTTTATAATATCACAAGTGACTTTGACTCAAACACTTTCATCCAATTTAACTCATTGTGAAATTGTTTTAAACACTCATTAAGTAAAAGCATGTAAAACAATTATACTCAGTTTTATCCTATTTAACTTAACATGAGTCAGACACACTCCAATTAGTTTAATATGATGATTTTAAAATTTACAATATTTATTGTTTAAGTAATTAAAATTATTTAAAAATATATATTTTATATCCTTCAATGTTAAATACTTAAAATAAAAAAGTATGTTCGTATTAATTTAAACACCATGCACCAAATTAAACAGCACTCGCCTAAAATTGTGATAGAGTAATTTAGTGAAAGGCAAAATGTTATAGCAGCTGAAAATAAGAGAAGTATTGAAATATTTAGAGAGAAAATGCAGTAAAAATTGAAAATAATAATAAAATAACTTTACCAGGTCTTTCTGGGCGGGGAGACATTCTATTGGTGCATTACTTGCAAGATAGAAAAAACTGTTTGAACCAAAGCCAAAACAAGGAGAACAATTCCAGCAAATGAAACTGCAGCTTGCCAAGGAGTTTTACAATAATCACGCTTCAGAGTCGACTTCAAAGTATTACAAGGGTTTCTATAAAATTCATCCAACTCTTTGAAGATTTGATTGTAATTAGAATTTCTGCTTGATAGCGTAACATTTTTGCAAAGACCATTAAACATGTTAGCCACAGAATCAGCATCCTCTAGCCAGTTAATTAATATTTTCTTTTGAACCAGTTTATCCACATCTTCTCTCGTGTTTATAAGGAAGTCCATAATGTCAGCATAATCAGTAATGTAGGCTTCATCCGGATAGTGACATTGCTCCAAAGCTATCATATTCCTAAACAAAATTTCAGTCCAATCATGTACTACCAATTTCGGAATTTCAAGAACTCCTTTTGAAAATATCAAGCCTAGTAAGCACGTACTAGTACTGTCACTCTTTACCTTAATCTGCACTCCTGCTTTCGACAACTCAGTAAGACTAGGAAGTTGTGTCACGAATTCATTACTATGCCTAAGTGGTCGTGTTTCAGGAGGATGTTGCAGGTAAAAAGTTATTACGAGATCGGTAAAGGGCTTTATGCTTATATTATGAAAACTCAATCTGGATCTATTATAATATCCAAAATATTCAAACGAAAGCTTAAGAAATGAAGGGATATTAGACCTGTCGATGAAGAACTTATTAAACAGAGCCTGAAGAATAGAAAAAGGAAGCTGGTTCTCAAGTAACAACAAATCTAATCTTATCATAGAGTCCAACCATGGTTTTGAAAGACACACGTCCTCGCTTGACCATACTTTAGCATGGTATATGCAAAAGAGCTCAAGTATAAAACTGGAATCCACAAATATGATCTTCACCAGTTCCTCTTTACTGAATTCAAGGGTGTCTGAATAACAGCGGCGAACATGGGACTCCAAACCTTCTATGTAGCGTATCCAGCAATCCCAAGTTGTGTTGGTTCGTTGAAGAAAGGACTTGCAATAACTGAGTTTGTGTCTTTCCATGTTAAGGAGACGAGGATGGCGATTGTGGTGAAAAGGGCCGATAGAAACAACATTTGGAGTGTAAGCATCTTCTTTGTGTTTGCGAATAGGAAAGGGCACTCTGTAGATGCAACACTCCGCAGTTACAGGTGCCTCTGCCCCATTCAGCATCGCCTCAAAATCAATCGCATCCATCATTCTAGTCAACCAAAAATCAACATAGTTAAAGTGAAATAGAGTTCAGAAACAAAAATGAGTATAATCTAGATGGGGAATTATGACAGAGATTACCAACTTTCTTTGGATTCGATTTCAAGATCTTAGCCAGAGAGTTCTTTCATATTTTTTTTTACGTACGCATATCACCTTTAATATCCACCAACATGTGCCATATCTTGTACTACGATTGACCAAGACTTTATCAATTAAAAGTGGACTGGATAGCTTGATCGGTCCCATCGAAGGATACGTGAATGAGTCAGCATACCAAAAAAAAATAAAATAAAGAGAAAAATTTTTGTTTTATAAAAAAATAATTTAAATAGACAAATTTACTTAAAATATGTAAAATATATAAATGATCTAGTCTAAATTTCATTTATATATTAATTTTTTATTAGTATAAGTGAAATTATATTTATAAAATAAACTAATAATAACAAACATTTTTTTTAATTTTTTTATATGATAATATTAAAATCTTAAAAAAATCATGAAAAAACTTTAAATTTAAAATTTTAATATAATCTATATATTTATTTATTTAATATAAAAAAAGGATGAGCTAGCGGAATATTATAACCTCCCGACTTTCTTTCGATTCAATTTCAAGTTTTTAGCGAAAGTTCTCAGAAAAAAAAAATGAAGAGAAAAGAAAGAGAAGAAAAATGTAAGGAAATATACAGAAATAGACTAGAAATAAAGATTGCTTGATAAGAAGAAAACAAAAGAGAAATTGACTGAAAATTGATTATTTTAATAAATAATTTTGTTTAAAATAAATAAATAGTTTATTATTGTTGTTTAAATAAACAAATATATTTTTATAAATAATTTTATTTAAAATAATAAATATTTTTTTTATATTTATTATTATAATTATATTATTTTAATGAATAAATATAATATTCATAAATAAATTTCTTTTAAAATATAAATGAAAGTTGTTTTTTTTTTATATTATTATATTTATTTATTTATATTTTTATATATATTTTATATATACTAATATATAAAGAGAATATCCTTTTAGTAATTACCTTGGTTTTCACTTTTTTTTATTTTATCATTATACTCTTTTATTTTAAAAAAATTAGAAAAATTATTTTTTAATCAAATTTAAGAACTTGAAATTAATGGATTAATCATACTACCGGTTAGATCAATATATTTTTATTATTTTATTCTTGTTTTTATTTTATCTTTAATAAAGGCATGAAGTGCCTTGATCCCACTAGTATGTATAAAGAGAATACATTTTGATAACCACCTTTTTATTTCTATTTTTGTATTGGACACCATTATTCTTAGATTTAACAATCATCTTTCAAAATTTCTTCAAAAATAAATCTACACCTATTATAAAGGGGATAAAATCTAGTACCACCTTTTTATTTTAATTTTTATATTAGACACTATTATCCCTAAATTTATATTATTTTTAAAAATAAATATATAGAGGCATAAAGTGCCTATTTTCCTACTTGTATTATATAAAGAGGGATTCTTTTACTTCAAGAATAAGCTTATATAGATTTATTCTATTTAATAACTCGTGTTCTACATTAAATTTTAATGATTCAACCATTAAATTGAAAATTCTTAATGTATAGATCAAGTTTGCAAATTTTTAAAAGATTTAAAGATCATTTAATACTTTATTTTATTAATTCAAATCAACGTATAAAATGATTTTACGATTGTCCTTCCATTTGAATTAATAAAATGAAGTATCAAATGATTTTCAAATATTTTAAAATTTTCTAAACTTGATATATATTTTAAGAATTTTAAATTCAAAAGTTGGATTCTTGAATTTTAATGTAGAGTATGAATTATTGAAACAGAATAAGTCTTGATAAACTTAAACGAATCCCTCCTCATTTTATATATTATATATAATATAATCATCCCTTTATTTTTAAATATAGTAAATAAAAATTATATTTATTATTATTAGGAGTATTATTTAATAATAGCGGGATCAAGATACTTCATACCTCTAACAGTTACATAAATAGGATATTAAATAGTTGCAGGTAATTATTTAGAGAGTGGATATAAGAATTTTTTTTTTTTTTTTACATTCAAAAGATATAATGATCTACTAAAAAGTGGAATAAAAAATGGTTACTTACCTTGATATCCCTTTTATAATAGGTATAAATTATCTTTATTTTTTTTTAAATTTTTTTTTAACTAACTTCCCTATACCCCTTAAAAAAAAACTTTCCCATACACTTCTCCTCATTTTATAGGATTTTATTTTTTTTTATTTTTTTTTGCGTAAGTCTCACAAAAAACTCCACATACTTCTCAATTCTCTTTTACCAACTAATTATAATTTTTTAACTTTTACATATTTCTTCTCTCTTTCCTACTTTTTTTCTCAGCTTCTCATTTTACAAACATACCGTAAATATCAACAATCTAATATGCATGCGTACGTAATTGCACTACCTCTCGCTAGCTATCCCTCTTATCTCTCTATTGAAATCCTGATAATTAGCCATTCAGATGCAATCATGCATGCAACAAACTGGATGAAAACGAATGCTAGGGACTTATTCCTCATGCAAGTTGTTTAAATTCTGGTTTGAGTATAAAATATATAGAGAGAAATGCTAGGATTGGTGGGTTTATTTCCCGGATAACACAAAGATTGGTAAGTCTCACTCTCTCATGAATCTCTCTCTCCATCTCCTATTTTATGATTTTTAATAGATTGTAATTAATGAGAGAAAATATATTAAAAAAAGTGTGTTACTAACACTCCTTTAAAAATAAATTATATTAAAAAAAACACTCACTTTGTAGTAATAAAAAAATTCAATCATCCATGCTATTAGCATCTATAAATCAAGTTAATAAAATAATGTGATTAAATAAATTTAATTTAAAATAAATAATTCTAAATTATCTAATTCTTGTTAATTAATATTCTTATTTATTAATAGAGGAAATTATCATTTTGATCCTAAATTTAGAAGGTGTTTTCGTATTAGTACCTAAAATATTATTGGTGGATATATATTAAATATGCGTATGTAAAGAAGAAGAAAAAAAACTCTTGCTAAAATCTTGAAATTGAATCCAAAGAAGGTCGGTAATCTCTGTCATAATTCTCCATCTAGATTATACTCATTTTTGTTTCTGAACTCTATTTCACTTTAACTATGTTGATTTTTGGTTGACTAGAATGATGGATGCGATTGATTTTGAGGCGATGCTGAATGATGAATGCGATTGATTTTTGTTTCTTGAGCTTTCGTTTGAATATTTTGAATATTTCAATAGATCCAACTTGAGTTTTGATAATATTAGCATAGAGCACTTTACTGATCTAGTAAGAACTTTTCACTTGCAACATCCTCATCAAACACGACCACTACGGCATAATAATGAATCAATGACACAACTTCCTAGTCTTACTGAGTTGTCGAAAGCAGGAGTGCAGATTAAGGTAAAGAGTGACAGTACTAGTACGTGCTTACAAGGCTTGATATTTTGAAAAGAAGTTCTTGAAATTCCGGAATTGGTAATGGAAGATTGGACTGAATTTTTGTTTAGGAATGTGGTAGCTTTGGAACAGTGTTACTATCCATATGAATCCTACATTATTGACTATGCTGAGATTATGGACTTCCTTATAAACACGAGGGAAGATGTGGATAAACTAATTCAAAATAAAATATTAATTAACTAAATTTTACGCTTATCAAGTAGAAATTCTGATTACAATCAAATCTTCAAAGAGTTGAATGAATTTTATAGAAACCCTTGTAATATTTTGAAGTCGACTCTGAGGCATGATTATTGTAAAACTCCTTGGCAAGCTGCAGTTTCATTTGCTGGAATTGTTCTCCTTAGCAAGTGGGGGAAAACAATTCTTAATTGTTGGTAAAAAAAAAAAAGCTGATTCAGTAGTTTTCGCTTTGGTTCAAACAGTTTTTTCTATCTTACAAGTAATGCACTAATAGAATGTCTAAATATTTTCTCTCTAAATATTTCAATACTTTTCTTATTTTCAGCTATTATAACATTTTGTCTTTTACTAAATTACTCTATCACAATATTAGGCGTGTGCTTTTTTAATTTGGTGCATGGTATTTAAATTAATACGTACATACTTTTTTATTTTGACATTGAAGGATATAAAATATATATTTTTTAATAATTTTAATTACTTAAACAATAAATATCGTAAATTTTGAAATAATCATATTAAACTAATTTGAGTGTGTCTGAGTCATGTTAAGTTAAATAGGATAAAACTGAGTATAATTGTTTTACATATTTTTTACTTAATGAGTGTTTAAAACAATTTCACAATGAGTTAAATAGGATGAAAGTATTTGAGTCAAAGTCACTTGTGATGTTATAAAAATAAGATATTATAGTTGATTTATTTAAGAGTGTTTAGAGTTGACTGTTTTTATTCAAATGGATAGATGTGAGAATCTCAACAAAACTAATTAAATTAGTTTATAATTTTTTTTGGTTGAGTCAAATTCGACCCGAAGTAAAAAAATTTGACGTTGATTAATTTTAATGACCAATTTATCCTCAACAAATATATCAATCCATGAATTGAACAAAACATTTAATTTTAGTACAAATACTAAACAATTTCTAATATTTATTTTTATTTAATATTATTTGTAGGTTGACATTTGTGTTGAGGAAAAAAAAAAGACATGAAGATTTTTTGAATAATGATCATAACTTAATAAACAATTTAATTTATATTGATCATTTGCTTTATTTAAGGGATTTGACAATTAAGTTTAAGTGGTCTTGAACTGTATTTATGTTAATAATTTAGATTTTATCAAACAAGGAGTCTTGAGCTATATTTGTTTATAAATGTTAATTTATGTTATTTATAAATATTTGTTTCAGATTCTTATATTAATTAGTCTTTTATTTACATTTACTTTTTTAGACGATATTGTATATGTTTATATTTTAAAATAAAAAATATGCGCTGAATGTTGTTTAAATATGTTAAAGAGAAATGAGAGATGCAACTAGACACCTAGCTAATGCCTATTTTTCTGTAGTCTGGAGCTTTAATGTTGTTTTTCGCTATATTTAACTTCAAAGCTGAAGTATTCTCGCAACGCACTGTGGATGTGATTTTACTATTGTGATTTTGGAGTAA